TAGTTAAAATGCTTAGTAAGTTTCTCATTTATATATATATAGCTGTCTTTTTCATTACTCTTTAAATTTGTAAATATGTCTGACAATTTAATTTGCTTATTTTTTTTTGCATTCAAATTTTTCTGTTTACTAATGTAATTTCTAAATCTTATAACAATAGCTTTAGTATTTCCAGAATGTTTAGAATATTTACTCTTATTAATAGTCCAATATTGTCATTATTAAATTCTAAGCCTAATTTATTAAAAATTTTATTGCTTATCTCGATATCACTTTGAGCACTGTCAATTATACTACAAATTTTAATAGAATTTTCATGTTTTTTTTGTTTAATTTTTTCAATTTCATTTTCATTTCGGCGAATTCTCTTGTTTAGAATTTCATTTTCAGTTTTCAGATTTATGTTTTCTTCTATAAGGTTGTCTATCACTTCATTGATTTTATTAAGCTTGTCATCCAAATTTTTGAAGTAGTTTCCAAACACATCTAGGCGTTTTAAGATCTCACTTACTTTTTCAACAAGGTTATCACCTGAAGTACTCTTAGCTGATGTATTATGCGAAGAATTCTTTGATGTAGCAGGTGTTGAAAGATACTTCAGCATAGAACGACGTTGCTGTCGTTGCTTTTTGCATTTTTCACAAAACCAAAAAGCCTCGAAAAAATGCTTATGGTTTCATTGCAACAAATAGTTAAAAAAGAACATTTTTAGGGTTTTTGGGGTGTATAACTTCTAGAGGGGGGGAGATCGGTAAAAATTTTGTTCTACGGGAATAAGTTCCTAGTAAAGATCTATGTACATACAAAATGTCAGCTTTCTATCTTGAAGGGTGTAGAAGTTTTGTAAACAGACACACGGACAGACGCACGGACGGACAGAGTGAAATTAATAAGCACTCTTTTTTAAAATTTTAAAAAAACTAAATGCGTACGTATATACTTATTATGAAACAATGTAGATTTTATTAAATCTTTTTCAGCTTTTTATCTTCAAGGGTGTAGAAGTTTTGTAAACAAAAAAAGTGTCACGGACGGACAGAGTGAAACTAATAAGCACTTTTTTTCAAAAAATTTTTGGAGTGACTTTATATGTTTTGCAAAACTGACTGAAATATTTTAGTGGAACATTATTCTAATTTGGCTTAATTTATTAAATAAAAAGTAAAAAAAAAATTAGATAATTCACGGAAAATATGAATTATCTCACAGTCAGCAAATTGCAGAAACTATTACTTTCAAAATGTAAATTTAGATATAATAAAAAATGTAAAATCGACCACTAGCTGCGGTTTTCGAACTCTGATATTTCCAAAAAATTTTATAAGTACATTATTTTTAACTTCTGAATTTAAATTGGAATATTCCTTTTGAATATTTTTTGAATAATTGGTTGAATTTAATTTTTTTTTATATGGATAAAAATGTAATTTTGGCCGTGGTAAAAGTCCAGTTATTGCCATACAAAATTTGGTGCCATCGTATTGGAAATTTGGTGCCATCACATAACCTCCTTTATTGTATGCAAAGTGGTCAAACCCATATGGAACAAGTGATAGAGATTCAGTGTTCACATCGAATAATTTAAAAAATAACTTAAATGAATGAAAAAATGAAAAAGAAAAAAAACTAGGAAGAAAAAAAATATCATGAAATTACGACTCTGATTAACTCATTCTAAACTGAGTTACTTAAAGTCCTGATATTTTCAAAAACCAAAACAAAAGCTGGAGAAAGTGGCCAAAATTCTGTAAAAAAAAATTTCGGACTTTTAACAAATTCCGCAAGAACTTATTGTGTAAAAAAATAAAAAAATAAAATAAGGATAAAATTAGATTTTTTCCAAAGTTCAAATGCCAGGTATTCCGAAAGTACACAAAATACATAATCAAGTAAGATGTTTATTTTTAACACTTTTCTAGACCTTTCAGAAACTATTTGTTTGAAGGCCCCATCTTTTCCGGAACGGAAGTTATAATCAAAAAAACCTAGATTATTAGAAATTTCGTGAAAATTCGTTAAAATCCCTGTATCCCGGAAACCCTTGAGACTTCGTACCTAGTTCGAAACAAAAGTTTTACCCATTTTCGACCCTCTAACCAATGGGACATGTTGTTGTATACCTTTGTGAATCACCCTGCATATGTATTCTAAATATGTATCACAATATCATACGGATTATCAATGTTTTTCGGATAAAATTTTCAAAAAAAAAATGATTAATAAAATCAGATTTATTTGACAGTTACTTCTTGTTTTTCGAATATGTTTGGCATATTGGCTTCAAAAGGTAAGTGGTATATGACAATGAGAGGCATTTAATTCCTCTTTAATGCTCTGTCTTAAAGGCATAAAATATTAAGTTTATTAGAAGATGAATTTACTTATATGTATTTGTTATTCATTTTCTGCAAAATACAAAAACCTGATTATCAATATAAAAATTAATAGAAAATTTATAGTAAATAATTATACACATATACATAGCTACTTCTCAGGTACAAAAAAGTACGCGTACTTCTAGAAGGGCTAGAGACATGGGATAAAAGGCATTAGATAGGGCTGTGCCTCTACGGTCCCAGAAAAAGGATTAATTCATCCACCCTCCCGCTTCACTCCCTCCCAAGATACTTTGTGACCGCTTTTTACAAAATGGTACCACATCCTGTAGGGGTAAATTTTTTATTAATTTTGGCTTTCTTAAGAAAATTTTAAAGATTTAATAAAATCTACATTGTTTTATAATAAGTATGTGCGTACGCATTTAGTTATGTATTCTTTTCGCGATCTGCTGCTTATTAGCTTCACTCTGTGCGTCCGTCCGTCTGCCCGTGTGTCTGTTTACAAAACCTCTAAACCCTTCAAGATAGAAAGCTGAAATTTTGCATATACATAGATCTTTACTAGGAACTTATTTCCGTAGAACAAAATTTTTACCGATCTCCCCCCCTCTAGAAGTTATACCCCCCCAAAAACCATAAAAAATGGTCTTTTTTAACTATTTGTTGCAATGAAACCATAAGCATTTTTGAAATTTTGCAAACGCATAAAGGCAGCGGCTTGCTTCCCCTAGCGCGATATTTTTTAGTTAAACTTTAGAAAAACAAAATGGCCGTTCAAATTTACCGTTATCTAATGTTTTTTTTTTTCCAAATTTTTGATTTCGTTTTTCTTCTAGACCCCAAACTGTAGAAGTTTGAAACTTTAGGGGCTTTTAGACATTAACAAATAGTTTAGTTCGTTAGAAGAAAATTTTTTTCCATCTCCACCCCCTCTCAAGTTATTGCCTCTTGAAATTTGTAAAATTTGTATTTTTGACACCTTATATTTCTGAAACCGCAAGCTTTTTCAAATTTCTATAAATGCAAAAAGTTAACGGTAAATTCCATGACATTAAAAAATATAATTATTTTTCTTAACTCACACAATTAACCCTTAAAATCGAGCATTATGTTAACCCCTGTTGATATTAATTTTTGCTTTATATCTAAGACTGCATGCATGCATCATCCTAAATATATGCAATCCTAGAAATAGCTTTGTATATGAATAAAAATAATTTTAATAGTGTGATAGATATGCATAGACTGTATTTAAAAGCAGTATTTTCACTTGTTGAATGGAAAAGTGCTACAATACAAACCATTGGTTTGATCCAACTTTATTTTCAAAAATATATTTAGAACGGAAACTCGCTGGTATTGATTTGAAAGGGTAAAGCTTTTTTAATTTCATTTAAAAAAAATAAAATTGTCAATAAAAAAAAAATTCATCTGGCAAATCGCATTTTTGAGGTTTCGAACCTGGGACTTTTTGCATAGAAATCGTATGCTATATGCATTACCGTATACAGTATTAGTATTAACTAATTATACATTCACACATTTTATTCGCATGTATTATAAAATCCAAATACATACGTGCATGGATTTTAGTAGTGAATTATTTTATGCGTATACAGTAAATTATTAGTTAAAGCTTAAAGTGCTTATTTTCAAAGGTAATTTACGATTTTATGCGACATAACTGAGAGCGAGGTTCTAAAATAAATTACTCAAAAGATTTTAAGCCTCACAGGAACTAATTATTTGTTTAATTATGTAGTTTTTTGTTATTATTTTTCAGGACTTTTCTTATTTTATGTTTTATCTTATTATTTATTGGGAAAAAACATATTTATATGTATATTACGGGTGTGTCTTTGAAGAAAAAAAGGCAACTTAAAATATCTTACACAGAATGGAACATAATTTCAAAATTACAGACTTAATACTTGCAAGGCTTGCAATGCAAGCACACACGACTAGTTTTGTACAAAATAATTACATGTTTTTTTTGTTTTTAAAATTTGTTGATAAGTGTTTCTTAGTAATTAATTAACTATTAAATTCTGTGATTTTTCTACTTTATTCATACATTTATCCTAGAGAATCCTGGTGAGATTGCCCGTCGAGTGCACATATTGAGGAATTTGAAATTTATTATCATGTCGTACATTTATGACTAGTAAAAGTCATAGTAATCTCAAAGACGAGATAGTATCACTTCATGCGATACATCTACCAAAAATTAGGTGATTACTTTTCAGAATTATAGATCTGCATGAACTTTTGCAAATTTATAATAGTCTCTTTTTTGTTTTTGAACTTGAAATATCTTTAGAAGTTTAAGCAAGCTACGACTATAGAATGTACATAATTGTTTTATCGAACATATCAAATACATATATTTGAAATGGGATGAATTTCTACAAGAACAGTGGTACACATAATATTATCTCTATAGCTTTTATAATGAATTCAACCCGTTTAGTAAGCGAAAAAGAGAAACACCAATAGCATGTTATTTTCTATTTTGTATAAGTTCTTCTTATTTTATTTTGAAATTGTTATACGAATTTGTTTTAACTTGTACTTTGACCTTTAAAGGCTTTAAATTTATTTATAAATTAATATTATTGACGTTTCACTTCATAAATTATCATTTTATTTTTGTTTATTTAGAAACATCTCGCGTCTTCATCTTTTCGCTCACCAACGAAAGAAGATTTATTCATTGTTAGCAAAGCGTACAGTAAACCATTAACGCAGGGAATGTCAGAAAAAAATTTTAGGTTTTTCGGTGACACAGACATGGAATCAAATCCGCCAACAATATCGAAAGGCACAAAAGCGTCACGGTAATAATAACAAACTCTGTACTATTGTTTGTTAAGATTTTTGTTTTGCAGCACCCGGAATAACATTGAATTTTCAATATTAAACCAGTCTCAAAAATATTCTCAAAGTGCCTATAATTTAGATCACATACCAAATAAATATGTTGCTAGTCAAACCAAAAGCAGCTCAATGCAAAACTTAGATGAAAGAAAAAAGATGGCAAATAATGTTAAAATAACACTCCACCATTCGCGCTCCAAAAACAAGCTGAAAGATATTTATGAAAGTGGATCTGAAACTGAGGGAAGAGATGTACTTCATAAGACTGCATCAAAATCTAGAGAAAAAAAATCAGGAAAGCATCAAAGTAATAGTAACATGTCACCAAATCGAAGTAACAATAGTTTTGATACAAAATTACCATTGGGAGAAGTATCATCCGATCCTGCTATAGTCGAATTTAGAAAGCCACCACAAGGTCCACGAAAACCAATAAGAAATCCAATTCGCTCCAGGCACTCTTCATCATTTTCTAGGTAAAACTTATTTCATAATTTTGAAAAAGAATAGTGAATTAATATTTAGTACTTTGTTTTAACAGAGAACGCGATCCTTTGCAAGATAGCTCTGGTACGGAAGGTGATTCAAGTTTAAATAGTCAACGTAGTGTCGTGTACCTGCATGCTGCGACTGTCGGAGATATTCCACAACCATATCAGATGTCTCCATCGAAACGGAGAACCATTCCACGTGACAAAATCCACTATAAACGATCGGATAGTTTACATAAGACACATGAAGCCTCAATTGAGCCAATGGCAAAATCCGTTTCACGATCAGTATCTATGATTGCTCCATGGACACCGAAGCAACGCAGCGATGCCCAAGAAATAAATTACTCACCAGATACTCCGGCAAATTCTGAAATTGTAAACGTTACCGTATTTACGAATTTAATATAATATTTTCTATTACATTTCATTGTACAATTTACTTCTTTTAAACACCTTTTAGGGTAAGCCAAAACCGAAAGCATCCCGAAAATATTCAGGAAGTGGTAACTCATTAGGGCGGTCGAAAAATAATAACATAAAACCGCGGAAATTTACAACATCCAAAGAAGATTCCTTAACACCAGGAAACTCTTTTCAAACTACTGCGAGGGTTGTCTTGTCGAACCGCCCACTGATGTATGAAAAGAGAGATCATGGATCAAAACACGATGTTAGCCGACATACTATAAAATAACTTTTATTTTGAATTTTTTTATATGTATTTGTTGTTATTACATTTAACCTACATTCTTCATTTAATATAATTCAACAAGTTAAAACTAAATGAGTTTGAAGGGTGCTGTCGCAATGTTTAAAAGCAGAAGAAATACATTATATAAAAAACATATACATATAACACAACATGAAAAAATGATTAACTCAATGGGAAAGGCTTCTCTTCAGCTCAATATTATCTTATAAAAATATACCTTATTCAATTGAGCTATAGAAGTTGCTTTAATTATTTTGTCGTTTTATGAAGCGTTAAGTTGAAAGCTCGAAATGTTTGCAGCATTAGATATTTCGCTAACAGTTATTTTTACATTTTTTAGTATGCTTGAAAAGAAATTTTGAAATACGTTAATATAAATATAGTAAAGTGAATTTGAAATAAAATTATATAAATATAGTAAAGTGCTAACTGAATGTTGCATACATACCTTTGAAGGGAAATCTTTTGTTAATATAATATTAAGAAAAAAATTTTTCTAAAGTAGAAAAAATTATGTGGAACAACTTATCAAATAAAATTACGTAGCGTTTCGATTAAATACTGAAAAAAATTTATTGAATTCGAATGGTACGATATAATGCCATATATATCTATCAGGTCTCCAAGCTAAAATTATTCCAACAATTTTGAATCAAAAAAAGAATTGCAATTCTTAACGTTTTATGCTTTCGAAGTATGCCGATTAAAATATTTTTTTTATTTTTTTGTGAAATTTTAGAGTATTCTTTGCGACTTTCAGTTTATTTACTATAGTTTTTAAACCAATTTAAATTATAATATTTTTTGATTTGCTTTTTTTTCCAATTTCTTTAAATTATATTTCTTATTCAAAAATTTTACTCTGTAATTAAGTACTCTTCCATTTGGAAGACATGAAAAGTTGCCTGCAATTTTTCTGATTCAGAAAAAATTGCAATTTTTTTCTGATTTCAGTTTTCAGATAGAATATGCTAACCAACTTTTTCTAAATTTTAATTTAAATTAAAAAAAAAATATGTAGAATCAGTAAAGCTAAAAATATTGATCAACTTCCTTCTCACAAATAATTTCCGATACCCCTTCCATTAAAAATCCATATAAATTTGGAATTTATTCTTGATTTGTTCTTTGAGCTTGGTGGCATGATAGATATTTATGGCATTAGCACGATATATACAAGTTATATTTAGAACATGATTAAAATTTCGATACCTATAATACTTATCTATAAATTATGTTAAATTTTAACAGAATAATTAAAATATCTATTAATTTTAAATTATTAAACCGTAACTTTAAAATATGAAATCATTAAATATTAAATTATCAATTTTCTGTCGTTGTATATATGTACAAACAAAAGTAAAATGAACGCCGTGGAATATAAAACACAAAAATGGAGTTCAAAACTTTTTTATGTTAATAAACAATTTGTGAAATCATAATATAACTTACAAAACTAATTTACTCATACTTGGAAATAAGGGTGCCGTTTTATTTTTATATAATGATGATTAAATCAATCCAATATTATTTACTTAACTTTTAATGTTATAAATTACAGATTACAATCAGCCCTATCATGAATTCCACTCGTAGAATCCTACGAATTGCGAACAGAATATGCAAAGACATTTATATAATCATAAATTCATTTCGTAGAGATAATGAATCACCAATGGCAGTACCACTTTTTGCAGTGTTAAAATCAGTATTTTATTCCAATTATAAAATGTTTATTTATACTTTTGGTTGTTTTTTCAGCAAACATATTATAATCTTTTGTATGAACAGTAGAATATTTTTTGGAATATTCATACAAAAGAATATTTTTCAAAACATCGTTTTGTATGAAAATTTTGCAGTTTTTCTAGTTTTTGAATATACTATCTGAAAATCTGTAGGAATTTTGTTTTTAACGATATGAATTTATTTCCTTTCATAGTGGTCGTGCATAAAGTAGCTCAAACTAAAACAAAAAAATTTAAAACTTGAAAATTAATACGACCATTCTTTTTAAATTGCTTGTTACGGGTGATTATATCTTTCTTTTCTTAGACTTTTGATCGTAATTTTTACTACGAACGTAATTTATGATTAATCAATAACGAATATTCGGAGGAGAATTTTAGTGATTCGTAATTGATAAACGGTTCGAAAAATATCATATTCGTAATGTTCCGAATTTCAGAGTTACGAACGAAATTCTTGATAGTGCTGAATAATATTATGATGTGTGTGAATATTATATGTATATTTAACATTAATATGCTTAATTTGTATAATAAATTGAAATAAAACAAATGCTAATTTATTTAAAATGACTTTTGTGTTCCCATTTAAGTACATCCAAAAATAAAAAAAAAAAACAATTTCCATAATAGAAAAGGCTTGTTCGGTATTGCATGATACGCTGCAAGTTCATAATCAGAACTAAAAAAGCTTTTGCAATAAAACTACTACAAAATTTAACGCTACAACTTTTTCGTGATGCGCAAGTATGTCAAAAGTAAAATCAGCTGTTCGTCTAACTAATCAATTTTAAATAAAGAATTAAAGAAATGGAGCGCGACTTTATTTCAAATTTGATGAAAATACCATTATCTCATGTTAAAAATGAAAAAAAAAGATAAATTTCAAATTAACTTAAAAATTTAAACAATTTACTTTAGTAAGTCCGATATTTTAATGTAAAAAACCACTTTTGCACTGAAATTTTTTAAACTGCTCATACACTAAGGTTTTTTTTGAAATTTTACTTCCAGCATGAGCAACAGTTTACGCTACAAAAGAATACTTCAAAACCGAACACTACAAACCTGCAGTTCTTTAATACAAAACATACTACATGTCAAATATAACTAAGAACTGAATACCGAAAAAGCCCAAATACGAAACACATATACAAAAATTTTTTGAATGAAGTTGATTTTTTATTTTTACACCCTTCTAGAATATTACCACCCCAAACGGACTTATTCGCTAAAAAAATAAACCCCACTAAACGAACTTCTTCGCATTGTGAAAACTAGATATGTACATACATAAAAATTCCAATGAACACTTAAAGAATCAAAGCTGCCGCCAAGACCTTTCTAAATTGTCTCAGCTGCGAGACGACAAGTTAGAAATGCGCTATAGAGATTATAAATTTCTAAGATTTTGATAGGAGCAGGTACAGGTAAACGTCTCCATCGAAATTTTATTTTATTTTATCATGTTTTGAATTATACAAAAAGCTCCTCAAGAACTTCTGGTAACAACCAGAACTCAAATATTAAATTTCAAGAAATTTCATCAATTTCTTCCGTATATATGATAAAATATCAGCCTCTGGATCAGTGTGGGAGCTCTGATCTTTCAAAAAAAATTATTGGTTCATTGTTTTAACGCCTTCAATTCAAATATTAAATTTTAATAAAATCGGCTGACTATTTCTCTTCATGCACGCAAAAATGCATATTTGGCCCGTTAAATTAGGAGGTTTCGCGGATGGTCGAATTAAGCTTATATATGAAATTTCAAGTAAATCTGTTGAATATTTTTTTTAAAATGATAAAAATGTAAAATAGGTCCGTTAAAAGGTCCAGTTTGCAAGACCTGATATATCTTAAAAGTTGATCAATCCGTGACATAGTCAAAATAAACTTACATATAAAATTTCATCAAAATCGGTTCAGCCTAACTAGAGATACACGCGTACACACATACCGACAAACCGACCGACCGACAGAAAGAAAGACCAACAGACCGACATCCTTCTAAAAGTAGTTTATTTACGCTTCCCTACTATGAAGCTACTCAACATCCAAAATTTGGTGCCATCACATAACCTACCTTATTGTATACACTATGCGGTAGGTAAAAAGGATAATAAAAATATGCCCGACAAAATCTAAAAATCCAATTTTCATAGTACTGACGTCGCGTATTTCTAACACTTAAATATTAATTGTACTAACATAAGCTTAATTTCGCAGACGTCGCACGTCGTACCATCATTTAGGTTAAACCACAAAAAAGATTTTATGGCAAACACTAATGTCTTTATATCTAACAAGTCCCAATACTCAATTTTTTTTACGAAATATTACGAATTTTTGGCTTCGTTGCTGGTTTTTCTTTAAATGATCGTGTCATATTTTTTATTATTTTTTTCTTTTTTTTTACGTAAAAAAGAGATTAATATTTTAAAAAATCTCAGGATATTATACACATTTTTTAAAAAGCTTCCCATTTAAAGCACGAAAAAGAACGCTTGCACGAAAAAGAAAGAAAGGTAGTAGGAAAGAAAAAATGATAAAAAATTTGAAATTCATATTTCAGTATGGTTTCAAATGTTAATGAGGAAGGATGTATGATTTTTCATGCACATTTTGTATTTCCCAATAAGGTAAGTTGAGTAGTATCGGCTAACAAAAATGTTAGTAAAAGCAATATAGGTTGACACATTTCAACAATTTGAATTATCTCATATCGGTTATTTATACGTTACTTATAAAATTGTTTCAAATAATTTCAGTTATTAAAATTAAATATGTATGTATGTACCTACTTCAAATCAATTTTTTTTTTAAATAATTATTTTAAAACTATTTTAAACATGTTATATTGAGTGCTTCAATAATTTTGTTGTGCACTTTTCATATTTTATTATCAGGTAAACAAGAGCAATCTATTTATAAAATGGCCCTGCCTGTGTATGAATCTTAATATTAAACGCAAACGGAAAAAAATTTACATCAGTGCCTACTACCTGTTATTTTACAATCGGAGTTTTTGAGTCATTTGTTAAGATAATATTTATTTCAAAAATAAAAGAGATATTCGAATCCGATCATAAAAATATATTATTGTCTTTTCCAAAACCTTTTAAATATTTTTTTACTTAGGTAATATATTAAGTTTTAAAAAATTTTCTCACAAATAGAGGTAAAATTTAGAAGTGTATATAAAATTTGTATTTAAAAAATAATATTTGATTGCATTTTAGATATTATTGTCTAATTCCCTCTTAAAATTTTTTCTTTACTATGTATTTATATCAATATTTAATAATTATCTTTCATTAATTATATTTTCAACTTGACATTACAGTTACTTCCCATATCTTGAGTTAACTTACCCTATGAGAAAAAAAAAGCTGTTCACTTAAAAATAATGAAATGCTTACAATAACATATAAGACATTGAAGGCGAAGGTTGTGCTTGTTGTTTTTCCGCTGTTTCAAGAATTTTAAAAAAATTCTGAATGAAAATATTAATATATTTTCTTGATTTTTCAAATATATTTTTAGAGTTTTACCTGCTTTATAATAAGTGTAAATTTATTTTAATATTTCTTCTCGAAAAATAGCCACTTCGATTTAAAAAAACCCATTTAAAATAAGGTCGTGCTTTCAAGTTTCTCTCTGAGCATTGGGACTTGTTAGATATAAAGACATTACAAACACATTCATACAAAAATGTTTGTATGATTTATTATTTTTCTGTGAAGGTTTCTTTTTTTATCAAATATATATTAGAAGAATTTCATGTAAAGAATCAAAAACGCTCGCAATTTGCAACTGTAATCGTTTTCAATAAATTGTTATTAAAAAAAAGCAAAATCTCGAATGGGTTGGGGAGTACAAATACCAACAAAATTCAGGCGCGTTTGATCCAGGCGGTTTCCTGATCTGCTTCTGATCCCAGAAGGAAGGAAATGTCCAATAATAAGCATAAAAATGCGGTAGGGTTTTCTACCAAAGTGTCGGCAGAGGCCACGGCTGTCGGCGAGGGCTTGGCTTAATATTTGCTAAAGAGCTCAAGGGATACAATGTCTCCTCCTGTGAGAGAGGTTAGAAAAAAAACCATACATGGTTATAAAGAAATAGGGTCTGAAGAAGACGACAAAAGTTAAATCTCTAAAGGTAATGTAAAAGGCCAGAATTGAATAGTACAAAAGTAAAGAAATCTCCACCAAAGAAAAATCCTCAACTTAAAAAACATAAACCTCCACCGATAATAGTAAGTAATATAACTAATTACACGCAACCAATAAGGATGCTTAAAAGGAAAAGTATTAACGTGAAGGTAAACATGATGAACAACGATCAACTAAAAATAAATGCTAAAAATGAAAACGAATATAGACAATTAACTAAAGATGTGATAGGGTCAAATTGGAATGGCATATTTACAAAAATAAATTGAAGAGACTTTCCTTCATAGACTGCACATGTAGTAAGTATAACATAAATATCGGACTTATAAAATTCATTTATATCTACAAAATTACGGACAAAACTTAAAACAAATATACGCAGAGCACATCTTTTCATAAATTACAAAATTTTTGGTGACTTTTAACATATTTTGAATTTTCGATCACTTATTTTGTACCAATGCACATAATAGGAAAAATGCAGATATCGTCTTCAATAATTTTTTTGAAAGCAACACAGAAAATGTTAAATAGAAAATTAAATAAGAAAATATAACAGAAGAAGGAACATATCTAAAGAATTCAAAAAAGGCAGAAACAGCATAAAAATAAAATAATGTAAATATATAGAGACAAATTGTAAATAAATGAAAACAACTTTGAATACTTGATGAATTTTTAACGAATTATATCATATGTTACAAAACTTATGATATAGAATGAAACACAAAATGAACTTAATTAACAATAAGTTAATTAAGTTAATTTTGTGTTTCACAATAAGTTAAGCTGTATTGCATTCTAAGATAGCTATAATCAACATCATACCAAATGAAAGTAATGTCGAGATTATTATTCTAGATTAACTTAGATGAAATTGTAAAAGTTCTACTAAAAAAGAGCTTATAAGAAATTATACGGGGCTCCACTTAAAATAAATCATTTGACGAATAATAAGGAAGTAATAAATGAAGTAGTTATTTTAAATCTGTCTCCATAATATTATAGTCAACTAAGTGATTTCGCCAACTTTTAATTCTTATTTTGTAAAATGACGTCAGAAATGAAATTCACATTTCAAATAGAATTCAAATTTTCATGTAGTTTTTTTTAATTTTTCATATATTCCGTACAACTACTGTTTATACAATATACATATGTATAGATACACATATTTGATATTTGATATATGAAAAAACCTGTTATAAAAAATAATAATGATTGGTTACATTATAGTTTAAATATTATTCAAAACTTTCTTTTGTTCAATTTTTGTTCATTCATGATCCTTTCGAGTAATGAACAATATAAGAGGATTTAATTTTTTTGGTCTTTTTGTTCTTACGATATTTTTATAAGAAAAAATATACATATATATAATATTATACAGGATTTTAA